TGAGGGCGGGGCCAGGACCAGAAGTGGTGCTCCTGGAGCCCAAGAAAGGGACTGGGTTGCTCTGGGTGAGAAGGGTCAGGAAGCAGTATTGGTTCCCCAGGTGTCTAGGGCCCCAAGACTAGGAGTGGCGCAGGGCTCAAACTAGGAGTATAGAACGGCGAGGGGAGGGGATGGAAGGGTGAATGTGGCTTAGGGAGTCTAGTGTCCAATTTTTAATAGAGAAGAATTTCCTAGATATGGTTAGTAATACAGCCACTCTATATCCATTTTCCATAGCAGAACAGCTGATAAAGTCTCTCATATACACAGCTATAACGACACTTAGGCATGGACCACATAGGCATGCCCTGTTTTGAAATCATCTGTGTATGTGTGTAATCCTATATCTATTTTTAACATACATATTTTTTTTTTGAGAATTTGATACAATGTATTTTGGTTGCCTACACAAGACCTGCAGAAGATTAAGCCAGTCAACAGTCTAGTATGGGTGGGGAAGGGGTTTCTGAGTCCCCACGCCCAACTGAGGAGCTGTAGAAAGTTGATGACTTCTGGGGGAGGGAAAATCAGTTTTCTTTAAGGATGTGGCTTCTGGTAGGTAGGCCATGCTCCAGTGGATGGCCCCACACCCAGAAGTGTATGAACAGCACAAATTGGAGCCAATGGGTCATTAAATTAAAAAAAAAACTATGATTTTGGGGGTGTTGGGAAGCAGAGTGGATTGAGGAGGAGTTAAAGGGAGGAGTTGGGGGTGAATATTTTCTATGATTTCACACATTGGTAAAGTGTTGTGAGATTTGTGAATAAAAAAGCATACAATGAAAAATTCGGGAAAAATCACAAATATAGAGAAAATTCAACTTATCAGTTAGAGTCATGGAAATGATATCACATTAACACATTAAAAATATAGATAATAAAGAGGTTGGCATGTAGATTTACAAAAGTTCTGTCAGAACATCTAGCTCAACAAATCAGATATACCTGAAGCCTGGGCAGTGATACAATTTTTAAAATACATATCATTTATATTAAATCAACATAAGCATAACTGTAGCATTTCATTAATCAAGTAGATATATGTGTATTTTAAAGTATCCATTCTTGTATAAATCTGTTAGAAGATAATAAAATGAATTTGTTACAAATTTGCTTAAAATATAAACTATTTAAAAATGTTTGTCAAAGACTGAATAACATGAAATACAATTTCCTGTGAGTTAAAGAGATTTCTATAACTTTCTAGTTATCTACTAATCAAGGAAATGCCAATAAGAAAATATTTAAGACTTAATATTTCTTTATCTGCATTACTCCTGTTTTAAACAGTTTATTGGCTCAGGATCCTTGACTGTTGCCGCAGGGAGAAACCCCACAAGAATGCTGGTAAGCTCCAGTTCTTCCTCTTTCTCTATGACCAGACAGACAGAAATAAATTACCCACCAACAGTAGGAGAATGGAGGTGGGGGAATCCAGCTTACACCAGGTCTCATTTAATCTGTAAGAATTAATTGTTTTCTTTTCCTAAAGCATTCAGATGGTAGGTCATCAGAAAACTCAGATAAACTATGAACATGAATACCTGGGTTGATATTTTAAATAGTTGATGAATCTGCACTTAGAAAAAGGCTTCTTAATTTCATTGTGTTGTCAAGTTTAACAGGGTTAGACAGGGAAAGAGAGATGAGAGGTAAATAATGCTTAGGTGATGTGATAAAAACAGAGGGCAATGTATTAGTTCAAAAGCCTATTGAAAACTATACATATAATATCAGCACATGAGTGCATGTAGACAAGAAACACAGTGCCAGACAGGAGAAACCTCCCTTCGAGTTGTTGGTCAGAGTAGTCCAAGAGACTCCCCAAATACCACAGGCTATTGCCACAGCCCTTGATTGCCTCCCAGAACTTGAAGGTAAG